AGTACTGACTGAACCCCCCCCCCCCCGCCTCCCGCCGCCCAAAGAAGGATTCCTAGCCACGCCCCCGCCATCGCACCATGCAGTTGGAACTTGTACTCGTATGTGCTTACGGCCTCTGAACTAGTGCCCGAACTTTAAGCGATCCAGCACGGAAGCCGGACCTTCCAAGCCGCCTTCCTACCGCCGAATGTATGATTCAACACCCCCAGCTCATGGCAACTTTACTGAACCCCCCAAAAACCACAAAGACCCTAAATGCCCTAACTTTCACCGCCCCTCTCACGGAAGGTACTGATGCGAGCGGCGAAGACGGTTCGTGAGAACCACCCAGACAAAGCAATTTCGAAGGCTTTCGCACTGTTGGGATGTTCAGCGAGAGTTATTGAAGTTTTGTGCTCAGGTTGTGAGATCTTTTGATGAACATCTAGCAATCGGCGTTTGCTGGAGTGCGTGGTTTTGGTCCGGAAGAGACAGACAAACCCGCTTGGGTTTGCCCCGGAGGATGAAAGAACAGCCGCCCTGGCCGAGGTATTCCTATGAGCTTTGTGAAGTATAAGTTTTAGTGGAGAACGCGCTCAGGCGATTTGCTTGTCACGTTGTGGAGTGATTGCATGTTCTGCTACTGCTGCGGCCACTGCTGCTGCTGTACTCTTACGGCTATTTGTGCTACTGCTTCGAATCTGCGTGCTGCCCCTGCTCCTGCATTGCTCCTGCCGCTGCTGGTGCTACTGCTGCTGCTGCTGCTGCTGCTGCTGCCGCTGGCAGACTGCTACTTCTACTGCAAAATTCCATTTTTCGTCGTTAGGCACTTTGTCCAGGTCACAGCAGATCTTCTTGTGGATGCCGCATCATCTACAACTGGATCTGGACCGTCCCGTCGCACGTTGGAAGTGTTCTTGGTCAAGAGCCTTTCCTGGCATACTGCGTCAGCATTGCATTAATTGCTGCCTTATCTAGATACAAGAACAGCTACAGCAGCGACTCACCTACCCAAACTCCCTCACCGCACTAGCTACCACCTCTTTGCTTGCTTGCCTACCTACATAGCTTCGTATGGGCCGTATTCAGCGCAATCCAGCTGACGAAGTGTCTAGCTCTTCACCACCTAAACATGCTAGCAAGTTTGCATGCTAGGTATCGAACCAGCCAGCCAAACAATTCAAGTACCTCTCTAACTAAGCATCTGCCTCGTCAATTTCACGACTTTGAGACCCAGTGGCACTGCAGAGAACCGATCCAACACCTAATTGAGTCCCTGGCAGACCGACTGCCTGCCTGCCGGGCTGACCGGCCAACTAGGTGAACAAGGTAACCAGCTCACCAGTTGACAAACCAAGACGCAATAGAACTACACCATGGATCAGATACCTATAGATGTCAGGTACATTCAGGTCCGGTACATGCCGGCTGTGGGTGCAGTTGATTGGACGTCCATTGTAGATCCCTAGCTTAGTCCTCACGACATGTGCAAGTTCAGCCCCACCTCCCCCTCCAACCTCACGACCCAGCCTCTAATGCTGCCTAGACGCATGCTCACAAGTACTTTGCATCCTTGTAGCTGAGGGGTCTGAGGATGGACCGGATCGAGCGCCCGTCCTGATTTAGATGGGTTTTGGCCCGAAGTTAAAGAAACCGGGTGTTTCAGCTACACTACCAGGCTCTAGAGAGGGTGTACGGCTTGTTTTAAATGTGTGTGTTTGCCCCTAGATCCCAGAGCAACAAGCATAACACCAAGCGCACCCTACAACTGTGCACCGTAGACGTGGTTCATCCTCAACTCCACACCATTTTTGTCGAAAGATGTGGAGTTTGTGTGGGCTAGCTGTCGAACCGACGACAACAAGGTTTTGCAGGGCTTCTGGGGTTAGGGGTTAGCGAGTACTGCGACCAGCCACCGCCGCTTGTGCCAGCGGCCGTCGAAGGAAGAATGAGCCCGAGACCCTCAAACCCAGTAACTGCACTACTACACATGACTTCAATCCGGAGGCCAACACCTGGTTGATAGGGCTGAGGGTTTAGGTATAGTAAAGGAGTAGGATGGAGTAGGGTTATCATAGGCAACAGGTTCGGAAGGCATGGCGGGATGCAAACAACCGCTCGACCGAACGTAGGGACACGGATTGAACTGTCAGCGCCAAGAGGCTCCCGGTTTAATTTAGACTCGATTTAAGGTTTATAGGGTTCAGACAGATTCATGCTGTCAACATCCCGGAGTCTTCACGACCCCAAGCCCCTTTTTAAAAAATAATCCTAAACCCCTAAACTACCTAAACCCTCAAGCTTTTCCGTTAAGATTCTCCTGGACCCCTAGAGCCTCAAACCGTAAGCATGACCCCCAGCCAGGCTTGCACAGCTCAGACATCGAACCCTTGGGCTCGAGGAGTGGGTTCTTGTTGTTGTTGAGGCTGTTCAGTGGGTTTAGGGCTTAGGGCTTCGGGGTCAGGGTTTAATAAGCTTAAGCGGTTTCGGACCGGGAGCTTCATAATGGATTTATACGTTTACACGGACGTTCGCTGGTTTTCGGTAGGACGTTACTGAAAAGAGTTCAAGTCATCGTAGTATTTAAACAATCAAGTAGTCTTGTTACCCTACACATATCGCCAACTGGTACCTTCAACTCGGTTCCTTATCAAAACATTCTGCATATCTTTGTTGAGTTACGCTGCAAAAGGCATAATGGGATGGTCTGTCGGGGCGAATTCCATATGGTGGTATATCTGACCTCTTGTTGCCTACCCTAAGCCCTAAACCGGTTAACTCAAAAACCAGGAGTGGCGATTCTTGGAGCTGAGCGCAATCAGCGATGGGCTCCCGCCGCCCAGTGCACTGGTGCAGGAAGCCTTACTGCTTCGTTTAGGGATGGGAGGTTCGCGTAGTGTTTAGGATTATGAGCTTGGGGTCAGGGTGTGAGGCGTCTTCTTCCTGTGGATCGGGATTTGAGGTCCATTGTGGAAGAGGTACGCGGAGTAGAGCTTGTTAAGCTAACTGCTGCGAGTTCGTGCTACCTGCATAGGATATTTGCCCGAGCGACTGCCTCGACCTTCCGACCTTTCTTGGACAGCAGTATGCCGCGCTGAAGGACGATATTCTGAAGAGCAAGACCATGCCAAAGCAGTCCAGCCCAGGTCTGCATGAAGCTGACACGACTACAAAGGTCATGGCGGTCTTCTCCACGCAGTATCTCGGGCATTTCCGCTCACAGGTTATGCCGCTTTCAGAAAGCATTCAAGTGCCAAGTGGCTTCCCTCACTTTCTGCTTACGGCTTTGCTGACTAACTTTCCCGATTGCCCGGCTTGGCAAGTGCAGGCAAACAGCACTTCAGAATGGGTGTTCATGGTTCGCCCGGTGCTTCACCTCGCACTCAAAAGCATGGAAGACCGCTCAAGCTTCTGGCATCGCTTGCTGGCCTCCCCGGCGAATTTCCAAGAGGCTATGCTGCCGTTCATGCCCGGCGATGAAGCAGCGGCCGTCCTTGCAGCCGTCGGAGCCACGCAGCGAGAGGGTGTTTATGCATGTTCCTGCGGCTACGTGTATACCATTGGAAACTGCACCCAGCCGTGGGTACAGGCCAGATGCCCGGAATGCCACTCTCAAATCGGCGGCGTGAGACACGAGTTACAACAGGGCAACCGCCGATTGCAGGATACGAATGATGACAGCTGGCGGAGGCGTGCAGGGCGGCCGGGCTACAGCAATGTTCGCGGGGAGGCCTCTCGCCAGACGTGGCGGCAGTTAACGGTCAATGACCTCCGGTCAGGGCGCTTTTTTATGCATGGTCTTCTGAGCCTGCACAAAGCTCTGTATCCTCGAAGCCGTCGTGAACTGACAGAGCTTTCAGCGAAAGAGCTCATGGGAAACATGGCCAAGGATTGGCAGATCCTTAAGGAGCTCCACAACTGCAGTGCTGAGGCATTGTCGGAGCGGCTCCACGCCGTCGTTGAGCAAACTTGGAACTTGCCTTCTCCAGAAGGACGAGGGGAGCGAGAACGGATTCAGCTGGAGCATCGCTGGTCTCAACATCTACGCCACGCCCCGGCAGGTGGGTAAACACACTTCCTTACCCAGAAGATCCATGTAGCTTTTGAAAAATATAATCGATGTCTTCCCCCAAGTGTCCACGCATGCTGAGGAAGTGTAACTACTACACTACATTCTTCCACCGTTGAGCAGCTCACGCAATTGAGGGTGTCACTTGAACCCAAACGATGTAGAAGGTTCTCGCAATGCATCCACGTGCAATTGTGACGCGTGCTGGCATTGCCTGAACCGAAACCTTGGACAAGTTCTCCTTTGAACGCAACTCAACTTACACAATTCAGCTTGAGGCAACAGAACATGACCCTTTGTAGACCACAGCTGTTGGACCAGAAACGCCGAAGCCCCGACGCGTCCCTTTTTCCACTAAGTCCCAGAGCCTAAACGCGCAAAGACAGGTCGGAGGTCCGCCAGGGATGACGATGCCAGAGAAGCGCAGGAGAGACTTCGGGATGAGTTGGAGGATCCTGGGTTGTTGCTTTAGGGTTTACCTTAAGCTGCCATAACCTACTTTTTTGTAGGTTCTTATTCTTAGTATCAACTCTAATATGGAGTTTATGGAGACCCTACCAAAAAGTGGGTTTCGGTAGTTCAAGGTAGGGTTTAGGGTTCAGGGTTTAGGGGTCATCTTCGGGGGCTTATAGGGTTTTTGAGGGGTGCATCTTCTTCGCATAGTTTCAGCCACCCTAAAAATATGTTTGGTAGAAAGTCTTCTTTGCCTAGGTTATGATAAGTTCGGCTTTATTTAAGTGCTTCAACACGAGCCCAGGATCGAATTAACGTCGAGCAGCTGCCTCGCCGCACAGTCAGAAACATGCTGCCTCTGGTACCTTGGAGAGATCGGTAGGGTTTCCGTTTGGGCCTTGGGGCAACCAAGTGTGCGGGTAGTTGGGTTTCGGGATATATGTGTCCTAGGTACTTGGACCCTTTGGGGCCCGTGCAGAGTTCATGTGTTTACGAGTTACTGGGCTTATGCATGTTCAACTGACCTTGTGCAGTGGTAAGCCGTGCAAACGATCGCACAGCAATCCGAACTTCCTACGTCGAATTTCAGCCCTGAGCTTTATAGTGTGTGAGAGAGAGAGAGAGAGAGAGAGACAGAGAGAGAGAGAGAGTGTGTGTGTGTGCATAAATCCACTGCAACCTGGCTCTGCGATGAACGGATCATTGGAAGACGGCCTCGGGCCTACAAATTCTAGTCGCAGAAGGTTTGAGGCACTGGAGCTGTTGGACACATTAGGCCATGGTCCATGGTACCAAGCGAGTCTCATAGACCATCCAAGGTCATGCGAAGCTGGCTTCCCATCAGTGGTATGCATATGATGGACGAACTGAAGGGCAATCCGGAAACAGCGCGGACCTATCCGCTCCTCCTTCGGGCCTTCGAGCGTGAAGCAGATCTGATCAAAGTCTCAAGGACGGTGGGTTTATAGCCCAGAAGGTGCAGGAGTGAAGGAAGCAGAGGTCGGAGGTACAGGTTTCAAGACCATGTGAGTTAGGGTTTGAATAGGGTTTAGGGTTTAGGGATGGAAGCCTTAAGGGGTTAAGAGTCGGGATATTGCGGGGCCATGCACACAGAGCTCACACGTGTGGTTTCGCCTGTGCAGAAACTATGCCACGTAACATACGACCCTAAACCCTAAACCCGCTCCAACAATGCGGCGGCAATCTTCAGCAAAGATATCCTTGGAAGGTCTACCTGTAGTCTTCCTTGTGCTGCCGTTTTGGGTTTAGGGTTTTGGGTAGATTTTTTGATACAAAACAAGACCAAAACAGGAACTTCAATGGAGACTATAGGTAGGCCACCGTCAAATGTCGGTTTCGATCTACATCTGCCACGTCAAACCTTGTGCAACCGACTCTGGTTGTGTGCCGTTCAGTTCTGGTAGTAACTACGACTGAAGTGGGGCGACTCCTCCCAGCAAGGTTTGTATGAAATCGGCAAGTTGCAGGCCGTATGTAGGCCGCCAAGAAATCAACCAGCAACGACTAGTAACTAGTAGGTGTTAGTGTTGACAATCAGAGACCCATCAGGATAACAGTATTGACTCAGTAACGATGATCACTGGAATCCGGAGATAGCAACCCAAAGCATATCATCCTTTCTGCCTCACACCACAGGCTACGCCACATCGCCGCTTTCCAAGACTTCTTTCTTCGCCAGTGTCGTGGTTGGACGATGCACCGGGCGATGGAGATGACAGTGGGAGAGCCTTGGGTGTCAGGTTCAGGGTTTAGGTGATTGTTGGCAGGATTTGTTTACTCGAAGCTTCCATTGCCCTCATTTCGAGAGTCACGTAGTCACTCGTCAACGTTTTTTCCGCTTATTTTGATAATTGCTTGGGTGAGTTGGCTGCCGGGGTCTTGGGTGTGCGGGATCCAGGGTCCGCTAAACGGTTAAGACGAAGACAAAGCAACTGACAGATCACTTTGTAAGCTATTTTCCAAGCACAAAACGGCCCCCAGGATGTTATCGACAAGGAGATGCCTGAGACCCTACAGCCTCTGGCCTTGAGCCTCTTCAAGGAAGCGCAAGAAGGATGGAACTTCGTGGCACCGAAGGCCCAGCTGAACTACCAGTGCCGACGGGAGATTCAGCTCACAAGTATGCCCTCGGACCCCTATGATGTACCTGCTGCAACCCGCCTGGTTTAGGGTTTGGGTTTAGGGCTAGGGTTTAGGCTTGTTTGTTCAACTGCAAGTGGCCCATTGTCGGAGAGGAGGAGAGCAGCGCACACGCAGCAAGTAAGCAGCCCCACAGGAAACGACGTTAGAGCCGCCTTACGACCCAGAAAAGTTGGACTCAAGATGGTAGTCTCTCGCAAGACAGAGAGAACGCAAGAGAGAAACGACGACTAATACGGGGTGTAAATAATTACCAATACGATTTTGTGGGCTCATTATTATAAGTATAGTATACTGGGCCCCGAAACCTTATTATAATTATTCAGGGGGTTCATTAGATTTCGTGTACCACGGCATGTACACGAGCGCCAAACCGAAAGCAAACCGTAACCTCGAACCCGCAAGGAGTTAGAACCGTGTATCAGAGAGATTTGCAAGGCTCGAACCCTAAACCCTAAACCCTAAAAACCCTAAACCCCAGACCCTAGACCCCTAAACCCCTAAACCTAACCCCGGGCCCTCCACCACATCCCATCAGCTCCAGTCCACAGTGGCTGAGTAGCCTCGACGAGGAACAGCTCCCAAAATGGGTTGGAGTCGCAGCCCTCAGCGCAGATTCAAACAAGCTGCGCCAACCATAAAACCATATAGAAACCTACTTCCAGCCTCCTGCTGGAGGCTGAGGATATAGGTTACAGCTCCGAATCTCAGGCGGCTTGGCTGCGTGCAGAGTGCGAAGAGTGCCCCAGATCGCTGGAAGCCTTGCTCCTGGTGCGACATCTGGTGGACAGGGTAGGGTTTAGTACATTTAGGGATTAGGGTTTAGGGTTTAGGGTTTCGGGGTAGGGTTGAGGGGTTCAGGGTTTAGGGCTGTTCGACACATCCCGGCACATGGCAGAAGCAGACCCTTAGTAAGCCCTGCCCTAAGTTACTAAGCCCTACCCCCAAGCTTGCGTGACCCGATGCCATAAAGCTCTTCAAGGTTTAGGGTGTAGGGGTGAGATGGAGCTTGGAGTTTATGGTTCAGAAGGCCTAATTCCTGATTGGAATGAATCTAGGGCGAGCCTAGAGGTCCTCATGGGAATTCACTTGGTTGAACGCGTTGAGTCTAAGGCTAATGCCGAGAACTGCAAGCTGTTATTTTGGAGTGCTAGATGTTACCGAAACACGGTTCTCTTCGGCGCCCACGGATTCGCAAGGAAGCAGCGCAGCAGGTGTCTCCAAAACACGTCCCGCATGATTTGGGAGGGTATTCGTAATGACGTTCCCAGTAGCATTCAGAGGCAGGATAGAGAAGCAAAAAATGTAGAAATACTTGCAAAAAGACTGATGGTGATAAGAAGTCGTCGTCGTCGTCTTTCTTGTTGCGACCGCCATACATACTCGAGCCGCCTATGAGACTTCCACATCAAGTTGCAAGCGTTATCCCCAAGTGTGTGTACCCAAGAGGGTCCATATATACTAGTATTATGGAAATAGGTCCCTCGAAACCATATGCGGGATGGTCTTTCGGGACCTAATTCCATAATGGTAGTACATATGGACAGCGCAGGACTTGCACAATGAGCTCGTGGGACTGTCTGTCGAGGCATTGGACCTGAACCAGGACTTTGTTTGGCGGCTGGGGTCTCGTTTTTCATTTGTCGCAGTCGTGACCATGACCAAGAGATACTGTACGCGTGCACGAATTCAACTCTGTCCTCGTAGTGTATACTATGTACCTCCATCTCGCTTTATGCCCCTCGTGTTTCTGGCTTTGTGGTGCTGTTCATGACCAATCAATGCCTGGACCTGTATCTTCCATTGGTGATTTTGATGGTAATGGCGGTGGTGCTGGGAAGGGCAAGGTCAAAGACACTGGTGTCGATGGAGAGAGTTTCATGCCCTGGTGCTGCTGTAGTTCGTCCAGGATTCCCGTTGCTTACACTCGGATCGTCGTGGTGACGATGGTCATCCAGACAGGGTTTGCGACATAATACTGTTCTGTCCAAGATGCGTTCCATTCACAACCGTGCCGTGAGTCAGCTCGGTAGTGGTTCATGTTGCACGGGCTTAACGGGAAATCTAGACACTCGAAATCCGTACTGTCCAGAGATCCGCGCATCCCTGGGGCTGGAGGACGACTTGGCTAATTGCTGTCTCGCCGATGCCTTGCCTCCATACTTCTTCAGCTACGAGCCAGGCTCCCTTAGAATACGGGTCCTGAATGTTCCGGCTGTGGTATGGTGTCCTGATACAGGACTATAAGAGGATGCTATAGCTAGTAACGGTGAGCAAGCGCAGCGCGGACCACAAGGAAAGCGGTAAACAGTAAATCAGAACAAAGCGGGCAACATGTCCATCATGGATGTAATCGCCGTAACCTGACCCGGTCGCCAGTAACTTGCAACTTCCGTTGCATCCTCATGTCAGAAGCTTTGGCGATCGTTGTTGTCGAAATCAGAGGATTCCCTCTTGTAAGGTTCCTACCGCAACAGGTGCCGTGTTGAAATCGCTCTGTTGACTCCCAACCACTTACTGTGTCTCATATGGAAGCTGCACCCGCGACTTTCGCAAGGAAGCTCCTGCAAAGCAATCTGCCGGACAGGTTCCTTGGATCAGTGGGCTATAGAGGCAGCCCAATCCAATGTCGTGGAACGACGACTGCGATTCGACTGGGTGTCAGCTGCTAGCCGAGTGCACGCCTCTGGGTTCTTTTTAAGGCTATTTAATAGAAATTTCCATAATGGGGATCTATAGTAGATAGTACGGTCTTCTTATTATAGCAGTTTAAATTTAGCCATAATGGGGATCTACAGTAGTCTGGCCTTCTTATTTTGGTAACTTAAGATTAAACCCCGTAACCCTAAACCCTGAACTCTAAGCCCCAAGCTTTAAGCCTTACAGTCTAAACCCTCAACTCTAAACCCTATACTAAGTTTCTTAACAAGAACAGAGGCCTTGTTTTCCGGAGTCCGAAGGATCCTTTCGGACCAGAGACTTGGCCTCGTCCTAAGCGAGTCTCGTGCTAAGGTTTACCTTAACCCACCAGAACCTACTTTTTGTAGGGTCCCTATCAAGCCGATATTATGGTCTACAAGAAGAACCTACAAAAAAGTGGGCTTGGTGGGTTAAGGTAGCGTTTAGGGGGTTTGGGGTTTAGGGCTTTCAGGGTTTAGGGTTAAGAGGGTTTAGGGTTAACTACACGGTTCAGCTATACATCCTGCCAAAGATTACCGCGTCGAACCGGTGACTACTGTTGATGATACTAAATTCTGCATTACCTTAAGGAACCTAAACTATTGGAATTTTTGGTATATTCCTTATTCTGGGTAGTGCATGATTTATATCATCAGTCGTAGGTCACCTTGAGAGACAATCCTACATGTAGAATGGTTCAACTGCTGAGTCACTGTTTGGCGTACATCATGTCTTTGGAATCCGCAACCGTTTGGCGGTGGGTGTACAGTACTGCAACAATTGAGCCCAAACACAGGATCTCGCTCATGACGTTCCTGGGGCAGACACCGCTTCAGCGCCCAAGAAGCCAGCAGAACCTCACGGAGGTGGACGTTCATACGTTGCCGTCTCTCTCCCTCTGAGACATCCCTTCCCGAAGTCGGCTATGAACAGGGTCGTTGCTTTGATTAGAAGAATCGAAGCACTTGTGGTCAGTTTTCCGCAGGTGGCTTTGGAATAATCCTTCGGCTCCAGTGCAATATAGGGTATAGGGGCCTTACTAGCTAGGACATGGTTTTCGGGTATCTTCCATGTTCTATATTGTTAAATGTAAGCTTTAAAGCGACACCGACACCAGCTGGCATCGGTTTCCCGAACGACAAATGGTGAACGAAAATACATGCACGGATATGGTGATGGAAAGATCTGCTACTCACGATATTCGAACGAGATCGAGATTTTCAGTACTAAACACGATGAAACGAGATATCAGATAGGGACAATGTTTCGAGATAGTGTAAGCTCAAAAAAGCCCGAGCCTTAAATAAACGCAGCGGCTCATATGTGTACATAGTTCATATTTAACATAAGGAGGAGCCCTACGGAATGATATGATTGATTATTCAGGCTTCTATAGCATCCCTGGCCAGGACATTTGCAAAGAAAGCTCTGGGGTACTCTAACATAGAAGCCGCAGTAACTACCAATACTACTCCCCCAGGGATCCATACTGTAAGTACGAGTTTTAGTACGATACTTTTCTAATCATTAATGCCCTTTTGTTAGCACAATTCCAGACCTTCGTGACATGTTACTTTAGGGTTTAGGGTTGAGGGTTTAGGGTTTGGGGTTAAGTGCCGGATTTAGGGTTTAGGGTTTAGGGTTTTCTACATGCGAGGTCAAGCCTCAGAGCTCTCGAGTTCAAAGCTCACGGTTCCCTCAACTCTAAACTCCCTAAACCGCCTAAACCGCCTTCCCCCGTAACTAGTTCGATCATGTTGTCGAACCTCGAAGTCCTGAACTAGGTACCGCTTTGTCGAAGATTTTGGGTGAAGGAAGGGCACCTTGCGTGGGAGGTTGTACTTTGCTGTGGGTGTTGTTGTCAGCGCCGAAACTGTGATCTAACTGAGAGCCCTGAGGCTTTTCAGGATTTGTTTGCACAGGTCGTGGGTGTGAGTTCCATTATAGGATATGCTTAGGGCCGGCTCAGAGTTCGGGGAACGAGCCATCATGAACAACCACTCCCGCTGCCTTCAACCAAGGGCTTCATGAATCCACTAGTTCACGAGGTCAGAATGTTTTGTTTGTGTTGCAACAGGCAAACCATTGACTTGGATCTTGTTCTTTTGAGCTTGGTCGCTACTGTTTGAGGAGGCATTTATGGCGCTGAAACCCCGAGAATCTGGGTTTAGCCGATAAGAAGAACACCGTCTACAAGCAAGCGAAACGGGTCCTTCGTCAACAGTAGCATAATGATGCATGCCTTTCGTGTTGGCCTTCATGTTCCGCTGCTGTGGGGTGCCAGGACGCTCCAGCAAGCCAGAAAGTGGCTGAGCACCCGTCCCCGCCATGGCAGCAACAGAAAAGCTTGTCCCAGCCATTACGGCAAAAGCAGAAAAGCAAGAGCAAAGCTCCAACCGTATGTTTACTTCCAGATCCTCGCGTCACATCCCGTCAGCCCGAAGCCCGGAGGCTGTGAAGCAGCAGCTACGGCGGAGTGTGAACACTGGGCTTCTGCAGGACACCAGTGCGGTAACTTGAACTCGCAGTGTCCTGGTTTGTCAGCCTTTTACAAACTTTGTAGCATGGAGATCCAAGCATCACAGTTTCTCGCCTCAAGCAGTTTCTTTTTCAAAGTCTCCCTTTCCCAAAGCCCAGACCCAGTATTGACAAAAGCCAAAGCCAGACCCAGTATTGCCAAAAACCCCGAAGAATGGCCACACTGCTTGGATTTCGAGTATTTGGCTGAAGGCCTCACTGGTACCGACAATATTGTGAATGGAGAGCACTGCAGTTAAGCTGAACCACTCCGCTTGTAAGAAGCATTAGCACTTGCAATCTTTATAGGTGACACATGTGATATTGACACTGAGACGGGAGTAGTTCAAAACGAATAGCAGCATCTTTGTGGTTGTTCTTGTCAAGAACCCCCAAACTCACGAGACAGTGTAAGGAGTAAGTAAGAGTTCTAGACGCATCCACCTGACCTCGCTCAACCCGTAAGATGCGTCGAGCCTGCAGTGCCGACCCTTCTGACGCCCAAGCACAGAAGTAGGCTGCAAAACCAGCCGTTTAAGAGACATCTCAATCAAGCCGGATGTGGGTCGGAACAACCCGCAGAGTGCCACAGGAAGCTTGCCTGACGGTTCTGCGCGACATGGAGGCTCGGATGGACAAAAAAAACCACGACAACAAGCATGCAACATGTAAAGTACAGTGCACTGGGGGCCCGAAACATCAGAGACACGCCAGGGGGTATTTCGTACTGTGACCATGCCGGGTTTTTACGGGCGTAAACTTCAAGAAGACGAGTAGCTTTGCCAACAATTCTCTCTCTACATCGAATCGGCGGATGAAGCAGCATAACAGTTTGTTCAAGCGTTTTCGCACAGAGCAACAAACCACAACTCCATGACGCCTCAACCCTAAACCCGACGCCCTGTAATTACAAAGAAAGCGTCTGGCAGCTTGTCGATTCAGGGTTAATTAAGGGTTGAGGGTAACTTGTGTCGGAACTTCGACCATCGAGCAGTGAACTTGATGACTTCGACATGTGGGTACCGCACAGCAACTCTCACCCCTGGCAGTTTGAAGCTTTTTCAGCTTGACAGAGGGCTTATGTCCGTTTCAATTTTGCGCGGTGTCTTCGGATGCGCAATTGTATCGCTGTGGGAGCAGGGCTTTGCAGAAGCAATGCTGGCAATTTGAGTTATCTGCTCTCAAGGCTTACATCGAGGTAGCCCACCCACCGGGTACCTTACTGATTATGAACGGCGGTTCCTCAAGGAAAATGAACGGCGTCGCGAGGGTGTTTAGTTAAATAACCAAATTCCGTAGCTGTTAGTCTTAAAGGTTTAAGTTTATTCAACCCAAGAACCCTTACCATTTCCTCCATAATTAATACTTCTCTTTCAATGCTTACTTTTCTTGCTAATGGTACACGGAAATTGGGATGACATTGTCGTTTCGGTCCCATCCTTCCAACTCAAACTCTGTAGATCACACAAGACCCCAACCCCAAAGCCTTACTTGAGAGCTTGGCTGTTTGAAAAGCTACCTTTTGCCTTTCGGGTTCTTGTCCGTTTGAGGCTTCCTCGGGCTGCATGAACCAAAGCTTCAACCGTGCGTTCTACGTGCCCAAGCCGCCGCAGCACCGTACACTCTGACTCATACTGACCATATAACTGGGGTTAAGCTTTCTAGCAGTAGAAAGAGGAGTCTAGGAACGCCAGTATTGCCCTTCACTGATCTTGTTTCTCTTCTTCGACAAAATATCGCTAGGCATGGCTCCGCCTGGCCCCGGCAGCCGGGCAGACAGCTGCAGAGTTTGCTCGGCAAGTGATGTGTCTCGGCTAGGTTCGGAGTTCGGTGTGTCAGCGAGGTTGAGAGTTTGGGGTGTTTGGGTTTGTGGTCGAGGCTGATTTTGAGGGAGTCTCCCTCGTTGCCGATATCCATATCACATGGTCACAGAACAGGCTTTGTCGGGCTTTCACATCTGAGGACCAAGTGTCAACGCACTCCGCAAGCTGGTTGGAGCTTTAAATGAACGACATAACCTAGAGCATGTCTTTTGGAATTGAACAAGAAGTCTGCGCCTATCATGCTGAATCAACAGAATGCAGGCACATCTCCGTCGATGAAATTCCGGATGCCCTGAACATCCTGCAAACTTCGCATGTGAGTGATGCCATCGATTGCATTGAAGATACACTCAGCAGCCCTTTGGAAGGATTGTCCGACAAGTATCGGGCACCTCTGTCGGAAGCAGCCAAGAGCTGTGTAAGGGCTTTGACGGCTTCGGATAGGGCTGCCATGCTGCAAGAGTGGCGGCAATTCTTCCGCACTTACTTGACAGATTTCAAGGAACCATACCCGGCCGAAACTCCTTTGTCAGAATTTTGGGCTCATGCGGTCGAAGACCATCCATGGGTAGCTGCTTTGGAGACATCGGATCCCAAGCTTATGATGTCATCATTCGGACCTGCCTTTGAGGAGCTGTACTCGGAGCTCCAATGTACAAGACCACGATGCGCAACAGATCGCTTATCCTAGGGCAGCCAGAGCTGGGCTTTCGACATATATGTTGGCATACTTAGGCCTTAGCAATCCATATACTTCGGCAGGATCTTTTATTATATTCAGACCAGAGACGATCTTGAATCTGCCTGAAGAAAATACGCACAAATAAAAAGAGAACGATTTTTTATATATCAAGATTTATATGAAAATAATTTTGAAGAAAAATATGAATATATTAATATATCTATATATATATCTATCGATATATTTATCAGTATTTTATCGATATTATTTGCTTTATTAAATATGATCCTTTTTGATACAATACGAGAAATACAATAATTCATTCCTGATATATCTATTTATTTTAGAAATATTAGCATGACGTTTGTTATTGAATATGTATCTTTATAATATTATAGATAAAGAAGATAAAAATATTTCTATTTCTTATTTAGATGAATTAATTTCTATTATTTATCATATTTAATTTATTCTAAATTTTTGATTTATATATATATATATAT